TTTTTAATGGACTTCTAATGCTTTCAATAAGAATTTATTCCGCTCTGAGTGATACAGTATCACGAGGGTAGTAGTATGATAAGAATTCAATCTTCATCTTAATTCTCCCATCTTCTTCCCTTTTCTTTCTTTTTTTTTAAACAAAGATACTGAAAAAAGTGACACGAAGAGAAAATATTTGGAAAGCATTTTCAGCAATAAAAGTAATGGTCCATTACTAATTCTAACGAATTTATTGAGATTTAAGAAAATTCTCATTTGAAAATGAATGAATGAACAATTGGTAAGTATTTTAAAGTTTATCATCCTATCATTCTATCATTCTATCATCCTATCATCCTATCATTCTATCATTTTATCATCCTATTATTCTATCATTATTCTGTCATTATCATTCTATCATTCTACCTCACATTTTGCCATCTTTCTCAAACGATTCCTTTTTCTATTAGAAATGAATGAATCCATAGAAAAGGAAATTATGATTTTGCATTGCTTTTTTAGAGAGCTCACTTATGAAGTGAATGTTAACCTATCTATCTACATATCATCACTGGTTTGCCTAGCCAAGTGATTTTTTTTATGAGAAGAAATAGATAATATAATCAACGAGTGATGGCTGCCATTTAGATGATAGCATTTTGCCATTCATACAACATCCATCATACAACATGTATAAACTCATCGGAGTTTGCTTGCAATAATATTTTATATCTAAAAACGCTTTCTGTTAGCTTCTCTCTTTTACATAATTATTTGTCGATCGATTAGGAATGCTTTTGTTAACATTACTTCTACTTGTGCATATATATCTTCCGATACATTTCAATGTCTTGAACAAGTTCCATTGTTCAAAATTTTATATTATTTATTGCCACCTTTACCAGATGTATTTTGTTATTTATTTTGATTTTTAGATTCGAGTAAATCCCGAACATGCTTTAGCTGGAAGCAACTGTTTCATTTTTTGCCTCTTCGATCATCCAACGTGTTATCCATGGCTTCAATCTGGTTCTGAAATGTTGCAGAAAGATATGATTAGAAAAACGTGAAAAGATGTTTCAATGAAAATTTTATGTTTCCAGAGGAATTTTACGTCGGCTTTTATGTCTTTAAAAATTGAAACACATCTGCCTGAATAGTTTATAAGATATATTGAAGTATGAATCTTCAATAAAACTACAAGTTTACATGCATGCATGCATAACAGTATGTAATACAATAAATCATAGATATCAGAGAGAATAAGGTTTGCGTGAGCTGTATGTAAACTGTAGCTGCTCGAAAAGAGAACATTGCAAACGAAGAAGGGATGAGGAATAATGAAGTGTGACAGATGTAGAAAGAATGAAATGATTAACGTGAAGAGGAATGAGTTGTTGTTGTTTTTACTTACTGATAAAAGTAAATGACAAATAGAGGAAAACGTATATGTAAAGTGCAGTTAGTGCATGAAAATATGTGTTGAAATAAGTACACAAACAAGCAAATACGTAACAAATGATAAGGCAAACAATGAATGAGGAATGATGCGAAATTTAAAAAAAGGAGTAAATGACTGCAAGTGGGTTCTATGGCACAATCCTTCTTCAGTTGTCACTCTGAGAGTCGTGACCCCGAAGAAGGACTGGTCAACCCTCTCCCATCTCTCCCTTTCTCTTTCTCTACTCATGTACTACAACACGATGCTGTCCTGCCTCTCCTCCTCACTTCATCCTTTCTGATGGCAAGAGAGGTGCTGTATACTTTTTAAAAAATGTATCACCTCTTTTTATATGCATGTATGGCTTGCATGTACCCGTGCATGTTTATCTTTGCATGCATAACTTGCATATTTAATACTATTTAGCTTGTGCATCGCATATATTTACTCTATAAATGGCTAAAGCGCGCGTGATTTAATTTCAAGATGTGAAAGAAAAGTTGCAGTGCACGCAGTAGTATTATAACATTTCCAATAGTCGGTTCCGAGTGTTATGCTCGCGATCCAGAAAATTTAGCTAATTTTATAAATAACATGCCGATCCCGGACATACATACTCCCGGGAATTTCTTTTTCATCTCATCATTAACTTCTAATTCATCCCACATATTGCAGGTTGAGATCAGTGCAACCATTTCCACATTTAGTAGTAATACTCCGTTCCTTTCGCTACATTTCATTATCCTTTGATTAATGGAATGAATAAGTTGGTATGAGTTAACCTTTATCATGATTATCATCTTCAATCACTAACTGATTACAATATTGCTCGTACTGAAAGCATCCAAATTTGGTCTTAAGATTGATAATATCAGAAAAGATATGTCACCATTTTCTAAGTAATTGATGACAGACAATATAATCATTACTTACCGAAATCTTGGCCTAGGTTTTACATAATGCTCGTTGTTTAATTAAATTATTTAGATTTAGGCAAATTAACCAATTATTTTACTTAAACAAATTGGACTGATAACTTATTTTGTCTATTCAGAGAAAAATTGTTACCTTTCCCAATATCTTTCCAAATGATTTCTAAAATTTTATTTGTGAAATGAAAGAAGGAAATGTTCCCTAAAGAAATATTCCATTTTATTTTATCATAACATTTTCACCTTCTCCTTCCACCCAATGAATTCTTAAATGGAAAGGTAAGAATGCCTTTATTTGTTAAAATTCGTCATCTTTTACTAAGAGAAATAACCTTCTTTCTTCAACGAAAACTCCGATTCATTTGGCCTTCAATAGGCGGTAATTCTCTTTGATGTTTTCATCTGGTGAGGAGAGGAGGGAAGGGTATTTGTATTTACTTCTTCCAGTTTTTCCATTCTCCCTTTCTTTCTCGTTGAAATTACGTTTTATTTGATTTTTCCCATATCTAATAAAACATTTTTTGGTAGAAGAGATTACGGCCATGAAAATTTAGGCTTTTTTGTGGTGAAATTTGAATGATATCCGAAATGAATGTGAAGAATGATTGACTAACTGACTGATTCGATATCCGGATATTTACTAATGGATCAGAATGGATCCGATATTCATTTTCAATATTTTTGATGAAGTTTTTCCATCTATGCTATTATTACTTTTCCACTTCTTTCGAAGAAATCGATTTTTCACATATGTGGCAAACGAACAATACAATTGATTTTGAATTATTCGTTAATATAATTTATATTTTACATCTGATTCTTCATTTCTAGACATTTTTCCTGTTCTGTTCAGTTGATTAAAAATTCACAAAAAGCAATCGATACTTTCATCATACACTTTCATTGAAATCGTCGATTAACCTTTATGCAATACTTGAAATTATCAAATTCGAAAAAATTTTTTTTCACAATTTTTTTATGCATTTAGTTGACAATTCAGATTTTCTTTATAATTATCGAATTTGAATTAGCGAAGAATGTGGAAACTTTCAACAATCATAACATAAATTATCGAAAATTTTTGTTACATTAAAGCTGACTGTGAGAGAATTTTATCGAATTGGAAGAATTTTTGAAAATTAATAATTATTTTTGGCATTTTGTTTTAAAACAAACTTTTCTTACTTCAAAAATATTTCATTCGAAAGAAACAAAAACTTTTATAATTTAATTGTACAAAAAAATTTTTAAATGATATTTATTTAGTATTACATATGAAACATATACGAATTGATTTCTCCAATCCATTTCCGCCTTATCATTCATACTTACTGCAATGATGATATTTTTTGCGGTAAGATCAGAAGACATTGTAGGCTTTTGCATAACCTTGACATCCACTTCCTTTTTCTTTTTATCCCTTTCTTTTCTTCTCTCTATCTCATCTCTTTTCATTCAATCCTTTTTTACAAGTTGTCACATATATATTGAATTCAAATTAGACTATTGGTAGGACGACAGGAATTATATCAATAAATTAGCGATTATATTATTTTTCATAACCTTTCATTCCAATCCTTATAAATTTGCGTAACATGAATGACTCCTATTTTTATTTATTTTGGATATTTCTATTTTCTACTTTCGATACGACGTCATTTTGGTGTATCAAATGCTCTCTGACCTCTTTGTATTTGATCATAACAATTCCTTCACCCATTTCCTCCTTCTTTTTCTTCTGCATTTCATTTATAACTTTTTATATGCTATTGCAGTGTTCTCTGATCGAATCAACATTTTTTATGTTATATTTCCAAAATTAAAATTTGAACAATTATTGTTTGACATAGAATAGTTGAAATTGTTTAGAATAGTTGTGATTTGGCAACAACAAAATTCAGGTATGTTTCTCTGTGCTTTGTGCTTTTGGTGCCATTTGTGTAATTTGAGCTTTTTATTTTCTTTTCTCTTTTAAAAAGTTGAATTAAATATTTGAAATTATTGTATTATATATATGACAGCCTTTTATTGTTCATCTATTTTGTTAGTAGACGTTGGGAATTTTGAACTTTTTTTCGAAATACATTAGATATGGTGTAAAATATAATCACGATTTCGTATTGTTGCATATTGGATAAGAAAGAGTTCATATTTCTCATCGAATATTAAGATAGATCTTGCAGTCAGCTAATGGAATTTTAGGTGGGCGAAGGAGCAACGGGAAGGGATGGGTGAGGAACGTGTTAATTGCTCTGCGGATATGCCTTAAAAAATTGGATAACATACAGGAAAAGAAATGAGTAAAGGAGAGTAGTTGTGGTACTTTATATTTCATTGCTTTTATGGGTTCCTTCTCATGTCTTCATTTTAAACACGCTTTAAATGGGTACTCTTCAAAGCGGGAATGGTTTTTCGATTAATGCGCTATCAATGAAATGCGGCTTTTCTCTTTGAAAATTTTTCAGCGTCAAATTTGAAATTTCCAATTTAAAAAAAAAGCCGGTTTCTGAATCTGAGCTTATATGCGGCTATTTGTCGGCAGTTGTTCAACTCTATAACTGTAAAATAACGTTAGTATTTCGTTTTGTTTTCAGAATAAATAAAACATTGAAAAGAATCGAAAACGAGAAAAAGCGAAAGAAACAATGTTTAAAAACCTTTTTCGTCAACGACGATCAAATAAAGAGAATGAAGATCATGAACAACAACAACATTATCATCATCATCATCATCAGCAGCAACAACAACAACAACAACATTCTACCAATGAATTTGTTAGTATTTTCAAATTTCAATTTAAACTTTTTCCCTTAACATTTGGAAACAATGATAAAATTAAGAAACCACTGTATTATTGTTGGGTATACATATATATATATATTGAATTCAATCCATAACAGAATTCAAAAATAAAGAAATTCTTATCCAAAATTTCACCAATATTATAACAATTCCCGTCAATTGATTTACTCTAAGATTTATGCATTTCTTCACTTAGTTCTTCAATCTTTTAATTTCGATGTATATTTTCTTCATATCTTACCCTCGCATATTCTCTATCCTTCTTGAAAACGTAATTAAATTATAGGATCGCAACTTATCCTCCTACAAATCATTAAGAAATGCGCGTGAAAAGCGATTATTCTATTCATCTCATCATCATTATCGAGGAAGTGCGGGTGGTGGAGCGGATGATAATCTTCCTGCATTCACATCACCATATCATATTGTCGCTCAGCGGAAATATCCACGCGGTACGCAATCATGTCACGATGGTCTCAGTGATGATTTCGATCGATTTTCCAGCGTGAATAGGTCATTTGCTAGTGCGACACATTCAAAATATAAGGTATCTTTCATGTATTATCATTTCGATTCCCTAATTTCTTCATTTTGATTTTAAAATCACTGAAAATTTTTTTGTTTAAAAGGGATTATCTCAAAATTATATCTTTCATCGTATTTGGGAAATATTGCTAAAAGAAATTTTCTGTAGTCAATTTTTTGTTCTGCCTGAAGTGATGAAGAAATCTGGTAAAGCTTTAAATTTGAAAATTCAAAAATCATTCGATAGTTTATGTATATGCTTTTGATGAATTATTTAATTATTAATTGTTCGCTTATTTCTTTGTTTATTTTACGGAGAATTTTGAACTGTTTGCAGCCTACTCGTCGTGAATACATGAATATTATGCGTCGTAGTCATTTGAATTCGGAATATGGCTGTGATCCATCATTAAACACTCCACCGCTTTATAGCAGAGATTTAGATGATTCAGATGCGGAAACGTGGAATTCAGAAAGGGTTATTAAGGTTGGCAACTTCAATTTGTTCTGAAATTTTTCACTTATTTGCGGGAAAAATAAAATAAATACTTTATAACTCTGATTAGAATCGTGTAGCATCGGCAAGATTTAATTTTCATAAATTAAAGGAACTTCGAGCAGAGTTAAGAGCTGCAAACGAACGAAAAAATTATTATAAAGATTTGTACAAACGTGAACGGCAGGATAGGATACGTGATCGTGAGTTGCGTGATTTGGTGGAGAAGAAGCTTATGGATGATCTCAGAAATAAAGAATTGGAATGCTCCAATAATTTGCTACGAATTAAAGCGTTAGAACAGGTGGAATTTTAGTTAGCTCGAAGTAAACAAGTTTTAAATTTATTGTTTTAGATGAATTTTCAAAATTCAATTTCATTTTTTTCCAGCAGCTTCAACATCACTCCAATTTTCCGCCTTCAATCCATGAATCCTCTTTTCGCATTCCGCATTTCTGCACCCCTTCATCATCTAATACGGCGTCAACAATGGCAGGAGCAGGTGAAGCCCTATCCAGCACCTCTGAACTGTTTGCTATTCGAGGTGCCTATCTAGTAAATTCAGTAGCTGGCAATACAGGAATAACAGGAGCAACAAGTGCAACAGTACCCGGTAATTCTGGCGAAATGCCGGATGAAATGAAAGTTTTCCGGCAACCTGATGAATTACCTTTAGAGTTAGCACGGAATGGCAGTATTGTAGATACTCCAGTTGATATTGGAGGTGATGATGCAGCAAGAATATCAGTTAATTCGTTAGGTGTTTCTTTAACAAATCGTGAAAATTTTAATGGAACAGTGTTGGAAGAAGACCGTCAATCTGATAACGGTTATGGTACCACTTCAGAATGTGCTTCTGAGCTTGTTCGAAGCATACGTCGGGTACATAGTGATTCCGAAGTACCATTAAAAGTTATACAGGCATAATCTATGTTGTTTATTTATATAATACATCATAACACACTTTATCAGCTACCTCTACTGAAAAATGTTCGACAATTAACCAACAATATTGTTATCCTATGTATATTATATATTTTTTAGCCATACTAATCTTTAATTAAATTCGAACTTCTTATTCAAAATTTTAGAAGTATATAGCATGAATTTAACATATTGAATCTTCATGAAATATTTATGAGATATAAAGTATTTTCATGAAATATAAATTGTTATCTTTCTTATATTTCGGTGATTTAATGTGTGATTTAATATCACTATATGTTATTTGCTATTTCAAATTTTTCATATAAAGAATTTTAACTTTACCTATAAATTATTATAGTAAAATCAACAACTGATTGTTGTTAGTCATTTATAATATGTTTTTCTTCATTATTAATTATATTTATGATTTATAATATTTTGTAGTGCACTTAATTTGCCGCTCCATAAAGTTATTTTAAGTGAGAATTAAAATAACATATTTGATATGAATTTTGATTTGTATAAAACATTTATATTATAGTATAGCTTTTCAGCTCAGGTATTTTACATTGCTTACGTATCATATCTCTTGAGAAATCTGATCATGAAATCCACTGTTCAAATTATTTCAATTCCATTTCGTCGTAGATAATCGAAGAAATTTCTCGAATGATCTCGTGAAAATTCTTACTCTCTCGTCTAAATTCTTTTACATTCAAAATTGAAAAGTGAATGAATTAAATTTGCTAGAACTCTTGTTTCAAAGGCTACTAAATTAATCTCTCATTTGTTTTGCCATATTTAATTTCTGTGTTCATTACGTTAAATATTTAATTGGTATTAATTTGTTTCATTTATTAATTAATTATTTGCTACTAAAACGTATTTGCCACAAATATATTTTTGTATTGTATAGAATAAGAAAAAATTACATTTATCAATATTATCATTGTGCTTATATTTCAGATTTTAGATAATGATTTAAGTTTAAATTTCAAAAATGGAATTTCTTAACATTTGCTAGGAAGAAATTATTTTTAAAATTTATTCAAAAATTTTCATACTCCATTAACAACAATCGTTTTCACCATTTCTATGTTTGGTTTCTTCATAAAATACTCTTTATCCAAGAGATAATCATAAGCACCTCTAACAATAATATAAGACCAAATGACAATTGTTGCTGCAAAGAATGATAGTATGGCTAAATTGAATGGCCAAATTGGGCCAAAATAATACTCCAATTTGTTCATGCTGAAAAATGTGAGTAATTGAGGTGAATAAAATCAATATATCAATGTTTATTGAATCAGAAAAGAATAACTTCAGTAATGGAAACCGGTTTGAGAAATATCATTCCGGTTTTGAGAAATATCAAAGATTTCAGAATTTAATTGAAAGATAAACATGTTCGCCTTTAATTTTTAGCTTTTCGCAACTATACACTGTTTGTTCGAACAATTATATTTACAACAACAAAAGAAGAAGAAATCTGTTCAATTTTTTTAAAATTTAAATTGGCATAATCTTAGAAGAGGTAATATCTTTTGTTTAACAATAATATTGACGCAAAGTTTATATATTTTGTAACATTATTATTTCATTATGAGAATGCAAACAGATTTTTCTTGAATGTAACATAAGCTTAGGCTTAATTTGTATGATTATACTTGAAATGAAATTCTATTCAATCAGTAACTTACCTAACATAAAAACTAAAAAGCCTATGAGTAGCCTGTAATCCCATAGACATGCTTGTTATCGATGCAATTGCTGAAATGATAAGAATTGTGACTTCGATATGCATAAATGCCATTAATGGCCACATGTATTTCGGTTTTTCCGTTACAATACCATAGATCTGAAATTTTGTACACACAAAAAGAATAAACAGTGACAGTATTAAAGCCATTCATTGAACTAGGCTTTAATAAACAGTCGACTTGGCCATAATGAAATGAATCGTTTGTAGACTAATTCTCAAATTTATTCATTTAATTTATCAATTTCATTTATAAATCTTTTAAATGTTCAAGAAGGATTATCTTACAGTATCACAATTTTTTAACTTTTATCATCCCTTAATCTTAATCTCTCTTATTCCTTAATCTTCGATTTTATGGTAAAAAGTAATTAGATGAGCAATTAAATAAGCAAATGAATTAATATAAAAAAAAAAACCGAATAACCATAAGAATTGTGGTAACTGTAGCAGAAATAAGGAATATGATTAATGTTATTAACAACCATATACGAATATTCTCCTTCTCAAGTTGCAAATCTGTAATTTCGTAAATATGAAATGCAATTAGGTTTCAGATCATTATTGACAAATTTTAACCTATGAACCAGAGAAGCATGAGAATTATTTCATTGTAACAATTAACAAGATCTATAATATTTTAACGATAAAGAAAATCAATCACATCTTTACTATTACAATAACTTACTGAAAAATACAAGTATAGCTGTAATGAGTAAAAGTATATCAAGAATTGCGCAGAATACGGCAGCATTTCGATAATGCAACAAATAACAAAATGATGGTGCGGAATAGAATTCGTTATCTTTATCATAAACAAATGGTTTCCTTTCCTTTTCCAATTTTTCATCATTTATCGCTACTTCTCGAGATTGGACAACATTTCTCATTAGAGGCATTTTGCTGAAACATTCTACAATTTTCAATTCAAATTTTTGAATTTCACGAGAAAATTCATCTAATGAATCATAAAAAATGATAAGAGATTCTTCTAAGATTGTAAACTGAAATATTCTCTTATATTAAACAATTCTGCTATGATTGATCCTACGGAATCATCTTTTTTAAGGAATTTTCGTTAATTGCGGAAGAGATGCAATGGAGACTTTTTTTGATAAGGAATTTTCGAAATTCAAGCTAATATAGTATTCTTGTTTTATTTTCTAGCATGATGCTTAAGCTGAAATAATCTTTGGAAGAGCGAAAGCGAAAAAAACCGGAAGCTGAAGGAAAAAAGAACGTTAATTGCGGAAGAGATGCAATGGAGATTTCATCGAAATTATTTCATCATGATTGATTTAAAAGAAAAGTGATGAAAAGAGATCCTTCCTCAAATTATCTCCAATATTAATGTTACAGTAAAAGTTTGATTATGTTGGAAAGCTCTTCCAAACGTTATTGGAAAATAATTACAAATTAACAAATTGTCAGAAGATAATTAACAAATTTGAAATAAGAATGGCAGAGTATCCTGAAATAAAATATAGACAAGATAACGGGGGGAAAATTCATTGAATGAGATAATTCCTGAAGGATTTATAAATATACGAAGAATTCGGGGGATGTCTATATGTCTGTTATTTAGATAAATTAAGTGGAGGCGAGATGAGATTCAGGCAAAATGTTTATTCCTTTTTCTACAATTTCTTCCGTTAATGTTAGAAACGAAGGGAGGATGATAATGGCGACGATGGTTGCGCTGTTTCACCTTCTCTTCTATCCATTCCCATTACAACCATCAAATTATCGATGATGACCTAATTTTACCTTAGGTGGAATTATTAAGAAAATAGCAAATGTTAAGATGGTGTAGGAAATGAATCATCCTTCTATTTTATAGGAATTTGAATTTCTATTCAAATCGAGCAATTATTTGAATGATGTGAAGGAACTCCTCTTAAAAGTCCCGCAGATTCTCGATAACAAAAGGAAGACAAATATACCAAAGTATATTTTATCAATTTGAAATTGTGGTACAACATGTTTTCGTAAAGGGCACTGCAATTGCGAAGCGGCCTGAAGAGCGTTTTGTTTAAATGCTCCATGAAGAGTGATAGAAGTGAGTGAGGATGGATGACAGCGGGATGTTTGATGAGAATGGTTCTATTTCAAGGTATTTTGCATTCATCGGATTTACCGTTTTTCATTTCCAGTATTGTCTTTCAGTTTTTCGGTTTTCCATGATAGATAATGGTGTTAAAGCCAAATTCTGGTTTACTTTTAATTATTGAATTAAATTTTGACCGCTATTTCAGTCTTTAGGAACTCTTTTAAATTATTTAAAATCTGAAATTGTTGTCAAAGTATAGATGCAAAATATTAATAATTTTTATTTGTATATAGAAAACGAAAGCTAAAAAAGAAAGAAAAGGTCAGTGAAGATATGGAAGAAGTACATGTCCGTAATAATGTTGCTGATGATGAACAATCTGTTGGAACACTCAAAGAGACCGAACAAATCGAAGTGAACAATACTATGAGAGAGGTAAAGAATAAAGTCGGCGCTTTCTGATTTTGCTGAACCCTTTTTTCGAACAGAGAGGTAGTAGTATCTAAAAGATCATTTTTCGAGCATAATCAACATACTCAGACGAATCACTATGACCACAACATGTATTCTTTCTTTTTATAAATAGAACTGAAAGAGTCAGCTATTCAGGGAATTCTCTCCCTGAATAATAGGAAGAGTCAAAAAATCATTTCAATATTAACTTCTTGTGGGGATGTTTAATCTGAAGGGATATTTCAGAGGAAGAAGATGAAACTATCAAAGCACAGAATACTGTCAAAGGATGAGATGCCTGAAGTGAAGGAACGGAAGAGTGGTATTATTTATTTCCAGACATTGCCACCAAACTTTACTGCCTCAAGAATGCGTGATGAAATGAGTAAATTTGGCGAAATTGGAAGGATATATCTCCAAGTAAATTTATTAGCTTTAAAAAAGTATTCAGTAAAAACAGTAAATTACAAATCAATATCTCACAAGTTATGTTATGATGATAAACAGTAAAAATTGCTTTACTTCACTAATTATTTTTTCACATTATTACTTAATTCTAGGAGTTTTACTGCTCATATTTTTTGTCTTATACATACATTGTAGGCTGAAAAGCGACGTGACGGAAAAGGTAAACGAAGAAAACGGTTTGTGGAAGGTTGGGTTGAATTTAAGAAGAAAGGTCTAGCAAAGCGAGTAGCTGCGTCATTGAATAATACAGCCGTTGGTGGAAAACGACGAAGTGTTGCGCGAGAATCTCTTTGGACAATGAAGTATTTGAACGGGTGTGACGCTTTTTTTCATTCTTGGAACTAGATTTTCTAGTCGTGGTTTTATCTCATTCCACTCTCTCCTAAGATGGCATTTGAATGTTGATGTATTTATTTCTTTCCAACAAAAAAAGCCAATTTCTAATACGGAGCATTTTCAGGATTTCTCGTCTATTTCGGACAAAGTTTGATTGCAGTTGTCTTATACACAAGCTTTCTGTTGCAGTAGTTCTGTGGGATATATCTGATGTTTGTCGGGGTATCTAGGACCGATTTTTTACTAACAGCAGTTTTCGTTTCAGATTTAAGTGGATACATTTGGTGGAACAATTAAATTTCGAGCATCGGATCGAACAACAACGAATGCACGTTGAAATAGCTCAAGCAAAGCGACAGGCTTCCTTTTTCTCTGATCAAGTGGAAAAAGGAGAGCAGTTGAGAAAATTGGAGGAAAAGGTGATCATGCTTTTCAGAAGTGTTGAGCATATTATTGATTCCTTTAACCAGAGTCATAATTATTTTTTCCTTATTCGTACAATGCATTCTCATTCTAGGTTTTAAAGAAAGGTGGCGTATGGGATAAATTCCAGCGGCAAGTGCAGCAACGCTCAACGATGAAGAAAAATAAGAAGCCTAAAGAGACTGACGATCAGCTGTTACATATGATATTTACTGGATAATAAAAAACGTGCGCATTATCGGACAACTGGTAGCTATAAATTAAAACGCCACATAACAATTTCAAGTATCTGGGGAATCGATTGTATCATCTTAATCTAAAAAGCGCTTTATTTATGCAGCAAAAGAACTTTGGATACCATGGAAACTTATTCTATTTTTGTTATTTGCCAATTCATATGTAAATTCTTCCAACTTAAATCTTATATGCCTTAAACAGTCGACAAACCTATATACCATGAACATCCGGCAAATTAATTCACAATATTTATTCAAACTTATTATATTCAATTGTTAAATTGCCGTGAAAGGTAAAATTTACTCGGGCAGCTATTTTTATATCCAGCTGGATTATATCATAATATGCCTTTGTAAATCATACAATTAGAATTAGAATACATTACTAGGGCTCTTTTTCCTCTTTTTGTTTTTATTACCACTTTTCCCTTTTATTACCCCTTTTTTTGGATAGGAATTACATATCAATCAACCACAAACATTATGCTAACTAAAGGTGAAATTTTCCTCTACGGGGATTAATACCAGATTTTGTTAATGCTGAGCACTGTAATACGCAAAGTGTAAAATGTGTAACCAGTACCGTATTATTTTATGGGACAAAAGGTATGCACATTGTTTATATTGATGTTCAGACATACGGAAGCTATGCTATTACAGATAAACTGCATGACATCATTTATTTTTAACAAAGGAAATAGAACGATTATGGAATTAAATTGTAATTTCACCGAGCCATATTCAGTGAATGGTGATATCATTGTTAATAATGAAATCAAATCACGAAATCCATAAGCTCAAATTCAATTCCAAAGTTGAATAATTATGAAAGAATTAAGCGATGAGGAAGAATCTAAAGTAAAAAAAGTAAATTATTTTTATTTATGTTCAGTCGTCTTTAGAATCATTTTAGCCTTCACGCTTGAAAGTAGACGGCATGAGTAAGTCTCCTATTTAGAATACATATCTATGTTATAACAACAGTATTGTTTTGATTAAACATGAAATATATAAAAATTAACAATTTCAAAAGTTTTCAAAATTCAAAGAAATTGCAAAAAATATTTCTTCAGTAATTGAGGACAGTTGGACGAGAAAAAAGTGGCAAATAAAGCATAGAGTGAGGAAAAATAAGGAAATAAGTTCAGATTTTCTATAATAAATCTATGTCAAACATAACTAAAACTACTGACACAAAAAATATAACACATGAATCTTCCATGCAGTTCCGTTTTCATCCAGTAAATAGGAGAATAAACAGGCAAAATTAATGGCAGCTTAGCAAGAATGGCGGACGTAAAGCTAGTTAATGCGAAAAGAAATGAAAAGGATAAACCATGAAGTAAGATAATGAGTTAAAATAATCAGTTTAACTGGACTTCCTTTTCCCCTCTTTCTATTTTCGCATATTAATGTATTGCAGCAAAAATTTTACAGTATTAAATTAAAGGGTCAGAAAAAGATTCCGATTTTGACCAGCATAAAAATATGTAATTTGACAAATTAAAATCAGTACAAATAGAGTTGTACTGCATTAAAATCAATAAGCATTGTATTAAACAAATCCCAGAATAAAAGAAATTGATCAAATCAAATTTATGCTAATATAACACGGTTAGGATTCCTAATTTTCCAAAAAACATTCCGCTGATAAAACCCTCCATGAAAAAACAATATAAAAATCATGACAAAATCAGTGATTGCAGGGTGCTCATTTAACCGTGAAAAATGCTTAAAGTATATGAATAAACCCATGGAAAGTAATTTCAGAGGATCCCTAACAAAATTAATCGAAAAAAAATGAAACTAAAATTGCTTAGATTTTTAAAATATCCTCTCTGAGCTCAGCCAGATGGGACCGTTCGTTTTCCAAACTCTGATAACCATGAAAAATTTGATGTTGGTGTAAAACATACATAACAAGAGTAAAACATTTAGTTAAGAAAAAAAGCTACACAGAGGAGTTCAAATAAAGAAGATAAAGTAATAATAGGTTAGCAAGAATGTGAAAACGAAATTTTAGAGGAGGAGACAGGTGTAATGTTAATGGAGAATACTAAGGAGAGGTAATATGTACACCGATGAGCAATGCGTGCCTTAAAAAACAGATTGAGAAGTAAAAAACAATTTACAACTATGCTGGTCAAAATTTTAGCTCTTTGGACAACCACTGGTATGTTCCATCGGTGCAAACTCCCATTTCTGTCGGCATAAAGGACACAGCGGATAAGCCATTTTTTGTGATTTTGTCCACTTCACTATGCAGTGCATATGGAAGGCATGACGGCATATACCGATGGCCTGTAAACGAAGCTATAACATAAGACCTATTGCAAACTGCAAAAATTTATGAGTATGAACCTTGTATAAACTGGATTAAATGATATCATATAACTTAAAACGTTTGAAGCTAAAATCAAAAATGCAATCTCACGGAAACATTATTTTGTCCAACTAGTTACTAGCGGATGAATACGAAAGCGTAAGTAAAACCATGATAATCAATTTGAATGACCGCTTTATAATTCAGAAAATATACATAACTATGAGATCGTTAAACGAATATGATAGTACATCTTATTAATTTTTTTCTCAAATCAAAGAAAGAATCAAAACCTATGTAAATGACGTAAGGTGGTTTTGCACTATAAAGCGAAGTATTACTGCCTTATAAAAATATGCTATCGCAGCATTAAAAATTCTACCAGAAACTGAAAAATGCTTTAGCAATCATTTTTTGCCTCAAATTATAATTTAAATGATTTTCATTTGGCCTTTAAGTACCGTAATAAAGAGAACTGACAATAGGACACTCGTCACCAGGCGTTTGACACGTAACGCAACAAGAGTCAAACGTTTCGCGACAAATTCCGCACGGGCCCTCACCGATACTCCATCGCCATTTCGCCACCACCTTCAAAAAAGATTTTACAGAAAACATGAAAAAGTTTTTATATAATCACCTATTTTCAAAAGAAAAACGTATGGAAATAAAGAAAACTAACATTCCATTTACGAATGGAAAGTTTGAGACGTGTCTGGGTCGGTAACTTGTAAACCGATGATTTATCCTTAGTTAACAACGATTCATCTTCTTCGGTTTTTAAATCATTATGATGTGGGCTCTGAAAATCTTCTAAACATTCTGTGAATAGAAGTTAACAGGAAATCAATTTCATGCGCTTGAATCCTTAAAACAAATAGTATTTAAAACTCAAAACAAGGCCTATTTTTTACTGAAAATTTCAAGGATTCAAAAGCTGGTAGGTACCGTCTAAGAGGTTCAGAACAAAAATGTCATAATTATGGATCCTTGATAATAGTTTCACCGAATTGAATTTTGAAGGCAAATAGATAAGGAAAATTCTTATCTACTCTACTCCTTTGTTTCTTCATAGAGTGTGAAGTAAACATTGGTATCTCTCCTATTAAGTAGTTCATTTCTGTAATACAACAATATTGCGCAGATAACAAGGACAGACAGATTCTTCTTCGGCACATTGCGCGATCTTGCCTTTGCCAGCATTAGTCATCTCGCCAATCAATAAATATAACCTTTTCCAATTAATAACGTTAGTAGTTGTAGGGAGAAGTAAAAATAATTCCAAGTTTTTTTCATTCTGAATCTTCAAAATGCTCAGCAGATCAGATATCAGAGATAAGGCGAAATAGTTGTGAAGACATATTTAAAAATGTCCTCACAAAAATTAATAGTATCAGTTGGCCGACTGCAACACATCTCCCTTGAATATCAGTTTTCTCACTTTTACGAGCTCATTTCTTTCATACAGCAGAGGGATATATGAACATTGAAATATTTTATATAAACCGATAACATGAAAAAATCTTATTTGCTAACTTCTATTCAATGTAGTATTGCTCTGTTTCTCATCTTAATCGTGTATTTGTTACTATATTCAATTCAGCTTTCGTGAGAAAAAATGAGAAGTAAAAGAGTACCACCAGTATCTTATCAATCATCACCACTGATAATATAGTGACAAGACTTACTTTGCCTTTTTTGTGATTTATTCTCATCAAACACTTCCCACTGACAAACACGAATGTACACACGATATCCTCCACCTTTTTGCAAAACGCTGGAAAATATTAACAACTTCGCTATTTTCTTTTCAAAGAAGACACGTCAAATGTCTATAAAACAGCATAAGATAATGAATCCAATCACAAATGTGACCCCCATTCTCATTACGCAGAAAATAGATAGCAAGTATAGAAAGATTATGCCCAAATTGTGCGTTACGAGGCAATTTTATTGCTCTCTTTCCATAATGCTGTCCCTCCTCCTACTCAAAACTGCCATTTCACCCCGTTACTTCACACTTTCACTTGCATTTTCGTCGGTCATGATGGCATTGTGCACAGTTATGTATCTGCGAGTTAAATTTGTTATGTACTAACTAGCGCGGCTGAAATTTTAGATCAACCAAATGGTACTACACGACATGCTATTGTACTATTTGCTCAACATTAGCTCAGCATTCTATCTTTCGGCAGTTCATAACGCATTATACTTTGTATTAGATTGGCATACTGTTGTATTGCATTTTTGGCATTATTGCTTGACATTTGGTTTTCTGTTGCTCTGCACAATAATCGGAATGCAACGATGGAGTAGGTCATTACCGATCACTCCGTTCATATTACCGATCACTACACAAATCATTATTGTTCTACTTTCAAATCGGATACATTCACAAATGCGCTCGGGTAGCTTATACTTACTTAGGTTTGTTTCTTATAAGTCCACCAAGAGATTCAATTTATTATGAAAGTGAAATCTCGTTCGAAAGATTTTCGAAACTTTACGATCTCTATAATCCAGCCGTACGGAACGTTTCGAAAATTTTAAATGGAATGAAGTTGTTCTTCGGTTATATCTTTCAAACAAATTATACTTTGCAAAACTTTTTCAGCACTGTACATTTTCAGGCTATTCGACTTTTTAACAACACTTACCGTGGGTAAATTCTCCAACTGCCTACTTAGATCCGATAACAATCCCCCCATCAGTTTGCTGGTAAGTTTTTACTTTTGCAGAATGTTGTCACTAACGGTGATGATTACTACCAGTGATATCTGGACAATACTAAAAGTCGTCTAACTTGTCTAACTAAATTGTTTAACTACCACAACTCGATTAGTTTTGCTTAAGTGACTTCAATATAAGAGGAACTTATTAGTGCAATATGTAAAGGAAAGATATGAAGCGATAATCACGAAAATTAAGTTAATCATAACAGAAGATCCGCAGTAATCTCATGAAAAATAAATCTTGATGAAAAATACACAGTTATCTAAACGAATAATTCTAACAGATAATTCAACAATAATTATCAATCCAGTTGACTCCTGCCAATATTACCCAGCTGCATGACATTCGCACTAATCTACGCTCCGAGCATTCGAACCTCTAAGAACCCGAAACTACCAACCAGAATCCCAACAGTGAATCAAAGCACAGACCAAAAAGACCTGACTGCAAACTTCGGGCTACGAATTTAAACAATCTTCGCCATACAGGCACCGCGTACAACTACTTGGACGATCGTTGATATGAAAGTGTGAGGAGATTTTAGGGGTTTGGGTTTTGAGATGCGACGGAGTTTTAAGAGACATGACTGAAAGGTATTATGTTTTCAAAGAGGAGCGAGAATGGCTGATATCCGAATCATTAAAAGAGAAATAGAGAAGGAATGTTAGATCTCGAGAAAGAGGCATGGAAAAAGCTAAAGGCTAAAAAGAAGGAATAGGATGGAAGTGAGACTTTGCATAATAAATCTGAATGTAATATAGGAACAGTAGTCCGTAAGGTACTTTCAGGGTGGTGAAGTTTATCTGCATAGGTTAGATCTATCTGTATTTCAGCCTTGTAAGTGTCAAATGATGCATCCAGCCGACTAATTCATTTTAGTACGGCACCAAAACAAGGCTGATTCCGCAGTATTTTAGAAAATTTTATAGAACCAAATAAATCTATATGGATCCATATTATCAAACCTTTACGAATACATTGTCGATCATGTAAGCGATAGAATCGCAATGCAGCTTCATGCTCTTCATCTTATGATTTATGACACCACACTACCAAACGTTCTTATTTCGGGCTATGATGGAATGATATTATGTTTTCAAGGCTTTTCTCATTTCTGTGGCTCCGTTTGGGCCTTCTAGCGCAAAGCGTAAATCTGAATGACAAAAGAGGAAAATTGATAGAATGCACAGTCTGAAGAGAAGAATGAATACCTGATTTAACACATAGTTTTCCAAATAGTTTAATTTTTCCTCATTCAGTAAAGAAATTGTTAAATTTACAGTCAATAAAGAAATTGTGAAATTTACAGTCAATCAATTGAGAGATACATCCATTGTTCCGAGAGACTCTGAGCTCTAAAGAGATGATAGCCAAGTTAAACCATTTGCTCGAGATTATCTCTAGCTTCATCCCCACACCTTTGAAATGACTTCATTGCGCTTTCCTTCTCATGAAGTCCATAATATCACGAGACAAACACTTACACAGTCATAGATTGAATATATATCGATATCTTTCTCACCTCCACTTAGTAGAATGGTATTCTGACCCCTTTGCTTCCTCGTTTCATTTCCGCACTTCAAAACATTAATGATTTTGTGGATGTGAGAAATTAATTTTTGGCACAGACCTTCCAGAATGACGTCATATACATTGGCTATAAATAGTCCAGAAATTGTCTCAATTATCAAATAAGCATTGTTTTCCAGTTGGTGGTATATCTAGATTGAGACGGTTCTTACTATCAATTAGTAGTACTACAATTCTTAATTTTAATGAATTCAATATTAATAATTTCCGAAAATATGTGATTCGAACTTTGAAGAAAACGCTTTAAACCCACACTAATCAGCTGGAACTGCTAATAGAAAGTTAGAAGCCAAAATTAACATAATGCGAAAATCTTTCGTAAAATTTTCCGTATCATAAGATAAAAGAATAACTTTTCCCTTTCCAGGACTATCACTGCCACAATTCTTCCCATACTTTTTCGGACTATACTTTCTTTGAATTGCATTTGATAGGTCTAATTTTGAGAAATCTTTGTTGAATGAATTTTATTCATCAATCATTCTAGAAATATAGCGCATTTTTTCGATCTTTCCGCTTGCTATCTGACTATACAAACCAATAAAAAAAGCAAATTATCCTACATTCTCTCCTCAGTTCTTTCACTTAAGACACAAAGATCATGCATCATATCATAAGTTATGTTTTTAACGTGATCTCACGTTAAACACTCAAACGTTATTACTACGAC